ATCTTGGGTAGAGGAAAACTGTCTTTGGGACAGGCCTTGTTCAGGCTAGTAAAGTTCACGCAGACCCTCCATTTACCATTCTTTTTCTCCACCACCACTGTGTTTGATAGCCATGTCGACTAATTTACCTCTCGAATGGCCCTGGCCTCCAGAAGTCTATCTACTTCCTCTTCCACTGCTTCGACATGTATCAACGTCAGTTTTCTTGCTCGTTGGATTACGGGTTTTGCCGACCTATCAACATTCAGTTTATGACAAGTGACCTCGGGGTCAATGCCAAGCATTTCATAAGGCGTCCAAGCAAACACCTCAATATTTACTCTCAAGAAAGCTTCCAACTCTTTTTCCTCTTCTTCAGCTAAGCCTGAGCCGAGAAGAAAGAAGCGTTCTTCATCCCCCTTCTGGACAAGGATTTTCTTCAGTGCTTCTTCAGTCTTCTCGGCTAGCTCCTTTCCGACATCCTCTAAGATCTCCATGTCTTCATCTTCGATCTCTGCCTTCTCTGGTTCTCTTATGCTGCAGGTGGATTTCATTGCTGCCATGGAGCAATTCTTTGCCTGCAGCTGATCTCCTCTGACCTCCTCAATCCCATGCTCTATTGGGAACCGCAATAGTTGATGCAATGTTGAGGGAATAGCCCTCATCGCATGCAACCACGGCCTTCCCAAGATGATATTGTAAGGGGAGGGTGTGTCGATTACGGTGAACTCTGTCTTTATCCTCTTGGTGCCAGCCTGCACCTCCAAGCTCATCGTTCCCAATGGCCATGTAGGCGTCCCATTGAACCCAACCATTGGGCTATTGGATTTCTCCATATCGTCTGGGTGAAGGCCAAGCTCCTTGTAACATCTGACGTACATGATGTCACAAGAGCTGCCTTGGTCGATTAAGATGCGCTTCACTTGGCATTCCCCAACCTGGAGGGATACTACCAAGGCATCGTTATGTGGATACTGCACCATCTCAAGGTCGGCTTCAGTGAAGGACACTACTGGTCCTTGGCACTACTATGCCCGATATCTCTTCTCCCCGACTTGGTAGACATGTTGTAGGTGTTTTACCTTCTGGGTCTCACCCCGAATCTTGTTTTCGTTGACCTTCGAGTGAATTAAATTAATTACCCGAGGTCCTCCTGCTTGAGGTTGCTGTGCTGGGGGAGATGGAGCTGCTGTCGCTTGAGGCAATCTTGCATGTTCTTCCCTTGTCTTGGCCTCATCGACAAGGTCTCTCAGATGGCCTTGCCTTACCAGGTCTTCTAAGTGTGTTTTCAGGGCTCTACAACCCTAAGTCATGTGCCCATCTTCATTGTGGTAAGCACAATGTCTGCCAAGATTTCTTCCCATAAACTCTCCTGGTGCTCTTGCTGGCGTTCTTAAATAGGGTTGGTTCTGAATTTTATCCAGGACTTTGTGAATTGGGATTCGGAACACAGTCGTAACTGCCTGTGTAGCCCTTAGTCCTATCTCTTGCTTGCTAGATCCATTGTTACCTCGGCCTTGCTTTAGCGAGCCGTTTCCTTTTTCTTGCTTTGCCTCCTTAGTCCCCGATGTATCTTCCTCGGCTCTGGCATGCTTCTCGATTCTCACCATGAGCTCTTCCATACTTTTTGGCAATGTCTTTGCCAAAGATTTTCGTAGTGGACAGTCGTCTTTTAGGTCATTTTTGAAAGATACGACCGCCACCTCTTGATTACACTCTGGTATTCGGTTGAACACCTCATAGTACCTTTTTGCATAGGCCCTGGGCCTTCATCCTTACTGATCTTCAGAGCCATCAATGCGTCCACCCTTAATGGCTGCAGCTTGTTTGTCACGAACCTGGCCACAAACATCTCGGCCAGGCCTTCCTAGGTCTTCACACTTCCCTTCGGTAGTTTGTGAAACCAATCTGATGCAATCTCCCCGAAGGATGAGGGGAACACTTTGCAGAGCAACGGCTCGTTCCCACTATATAATGCCATTGAGTTCAAGTATAATCCAACGTGGAAGTTGGGATCTGACTTACCATCGTATATTTGGAACCTCGACATACTGAGTCTCTTCGGCACCTCAAATTTGTCCAATTCCACTGAGAAGGGTGTTCTCGACTTATCAGGGGAAGTTACCTCGACATCGGCATTATGTTGCTTCCTCTTGAGGTAATCTCTCAAGTCCTCCTTTGTCCGCCCAGGAGATCGGCTATCTCCCGACTTCAGTCTTTTGGGCATACTACTCTCAGCTTCGGTTGTGGGCCCTTTTCGACCTTTCTCCATGAGTTGTGTCAAAGCACAGCTCCTGCCTTTGAACGTGCCAATGTTCTCTTGGGTTTGCTTCTTTAGTGTGATGTGTCCTTCGTGACTCTTCTCTCCTCGACTCTCCTCGCCCGACCTCCCTGGAAGGCCGGTGAGAGTGTTTCTCGCTTCTGGTGTGCTGAGGGGCTATTGGGATTGGTTTCTACCCTCCCTTCTGGGCATTGGCCGCTGGAATCGGCGTGTCCTGCAGCGGGAATGGTGGCTGCATGACGTTATTTTGCATCATAAAATTGACGACCGATTGCAGGTCTGCCAATTTGTTTGCCATCTCTTTCACATCTTCATCCCTCTGCAGGCATCTATCCTTCTATACCTAGAGGTCGTCCTCGTTGTAGTATCCGCTTCGATCTAGTTTCTTTGAAACGTCGCCATCCTGGTCGGCGTCTTTCTTGCCGTGATTCTGGTTCTGAGTCTCCTCATTGCGACCATCTTCTTTTACGTTTGGGTCAACGTGTTTTCCACTCCCGACAGGGATTTCCTCCCCAACCTTATCCTTATGTCCGTCGCTGGCCATCTATTCTCCTTTCTTTCCCACAGACGGCGCCAAATTGTGTGAGTGATTTTCCGATCACACTGTCAACTTAGTTTTCAGCTGGAGAGTACTGGCAGAATAGATCACACCTGGCTGACCTGCAACAAAAAGAGAAGATTCCAGCAGTGGTTCGTCCACCCGGGGGCACTCCGACGATCAAGTCAGTATATCTCTCAAAGATAATCAATAGTGCTAAACTCATGTTCAGAATATAAATTGCGTACCTTAGACCCATCGGGGGTGCCTTTCTTTTATAGTTACCTCAATCCTAGTCCCCATAGAAGCCTAGCTTCAATGGACTTCTGCTCAGTGCTTATCTTGGACTCTCCAAGAGATAAAGATAAACTCCCTAAAAGTGTTATCCTTATCCACACTAAAGTCCTTCCTCATTCTAGGACTCTTGTGCCTTATCCGCTTATCTCGGATTCCGATATCTTCGGAGATAACCTCGGCCTTGCCGAGATATCCTTGGCGTCATGACCAGGACACGTGGCACCTCGGCTGACACGTCGGCGTCACCTTGGCCACGTGTTGGTACTCAGAAAATATATCCCCACAATAAGAATTATCAATTTTTATGGATTTTAGCATTATGACAATTAAGGATTTAATTTGAGTATTTTACATTGTTAGTTATGTGTTGGACTCTTAGCCTTGCATGCTCACTTAAATGAGTGTGTGGCGTTGTCACGGAGCTTGGGGCGTGACAATCTATGCTTGTTGAGTCTCTATTGGTTCCAAAAAAGGTTCTTTCTCTGCTTCTCTGAGTTCTCAACGAAGAAGATCAAGGGGACTAGGTTTAGATCACTAAAAAGGGCAAGTACTTTCCTCTTTTAATCACTTTTATTCATTTATTATTATTGGATTTACATTTCTCTTTTATGTTCTTTTCATTGGATCATACGCAATGTTTTGATAGATTTTATTACCATTTTTATAGATTGTGATTCGTGATAAGAAGATTGGAGATTTATGGGTTGTGTTTTTTTTCTCAAAAAGTTAAAATTGCTGTGATTTCTTATTTGTATTGCTTGGTTGAAATTAGGTTTTCTCTGATTTGTTAATGGCTGAAAAAGTAGAAAATAGTTTGCCAGGGATCACTGTAGAAAACAGATTGGTGATTTATGGGTAGTAATTTCCCTCCCCCCTCCCCTCCCCTCCCCACAATGTTGAAATCACTGTGTAATTTCTTATTTGTTGGGATTACATGAATTTGAGTTTTTCTTAATTTGTTAATTGCTGAAACAGTAGAAAATAGTTTGTTAAGGAACATTGTTCTTTTTCATGGGATTGTCAACTTTAGTGTACTTAAATATCTTGAAATTTTATCCCCGTACATTGTTAATTTTTATTTACTCGTTAATATATTGTTCAAAACAGGCTCAGAATCATTTTCCCCTTTAAAATTTGCTCAGGTAGTTTTACATTAATCTTTTTGGGTTTGAGTTGTTGAATCTGGATAAGGATGCAATAGCTTTTTATGCACAAAAATTATTTGTAAATACAAAATATCACATCTGAAACTTAAGGAAAAATCTAGTGTTTTGGACATCAAGATTGTAAGGTAGCTCTATCGTCATGTTCCCAAATGCTTTTGATCGATTTGTGGAGTTTTGGATGCAACGATAAAACAATATTGTAATGGGATTGTGGTTTTTGTGCAGTTTTTTTGGGTTATTTGGTTGGAGCATAATGCTGAGTTTTTTGAGGATTTGATTGAAAAGGTGGACTCTTTATGGGATAAAATTGTTGCCGGTCATATTCTTGGGTTTCAGTCTTCACTCCCTTTAGTGGAATTTCACTCCTTTTTTTTATTATTTTGTATGTGCACGCGCGCGCGGTGGTCTCTAGAGATATGAGGGGAGTGTGTGATTTTGTAGTGCAAGAATTTGGTTGTCTTTATTTTTGTTTTCTTTTCTCAGACTCATCTTTGTTCCCCGTTTGTCTTACATTTTTCTTCTTTTCTAATAATATTTCTTTCTTTCTTCTTCTTCTTCTTCTATTTTATTATTTTATTTTATTTTTCTATTGTTGATCATTAAAAAATCAAGATATTTATTTATGAAGAAATTAACATGTTTCTGGCACCGAGGTGACAATGGTTTAACTTTGCATTGCAGTCCAAGAACTAAGCGAGGGGAACATAATTTTTGTTTTGTTGTGTCTAAGTCACCGAAAATGTCATCTGGGAGTCTGAATTTGGAATTATCAAGGAAAACATCGTTTCTGGGTCTAAAACTTTGTGTTGTAATTGGTATATGTGTTGGTGTATTCATAATTTTGATAGTCTATATCTTATCTTTGTGGGTCACATTTCGAAGAAAATCTAGAAGAATACTAGACAAGTATCCTCTTTCTCAAATACCTAATGTCTCGAAAGATGTAACGCCCCCAAAATATACAATAGATACAACTCAAAACATACACAATAACTACATAAATCAGAGTAGATAATCCTTCCATTTCATATAGTTAATGATACAAAAGTGTTCAACATAAATAAATGCCCTATTAGCTTACACCTTTTCGAGCCTTGACTTGGTTACAACAAAAATGAGCTTCGCTCAATACATTTTAAGCCCTTGGCTATACAAAAATACATAATCAAAATAAAGAAGCTCTTGCTTCCCAAAAGTCCCTCCAATGATGTTGCCTTGGTGGAGGCATGCCATCATTACCTGAAAATGTTTTTCCCAAATAGGACGAGCCACAGCCTAGTAGGAATAATCTAACACAATATATGAGGTTTAACAAAGGTATATGTGCAATGTGCAAGTACAATGCTAGGAACAAAACATTCACCTTTTATATAGTTATCACATTTCAAGTCCACCTTCATTTTCATTCTTTTCCTTCAATTCATTTCAATGCATAAGCCAACTTCATTATTTCTCACTAACCCAAATGAGACTACAAACTCAAAGGTTCAACAATTTCACAATCAACACATTAACACTTCAAACTGCCATTTTACCGATATTTCATCCGCATGATTGTAGACACCCCATTTTTGACCGACCTTAAGACTCAGACGTCATCAATTGAGCGCTCGATGGTTGCGCATGTTTATGCTCGTTTCGAGTTTCCAGAGTTTTCGGCTGAGTGCCTTGCCTCCGAGCCTCTGAACTCTTTGTGTGTTGGCTTGGTTTGTGGACCATGCCTTGTTTCCCTTCCCTGGAGGGAGAGAGAGGTCTGTAGACCACTTTTTTTGGTCATAGACCACTTTTTCCTCTTGTAGACTAGTTGCCGATTTCCAAAGCCTTCAGCCGCGCACCTTGTCTCGGGACCTCTTATCATTCTCCTCTTGGCTTGGTTTTCGGACCATGCCTTGTTGCCTTGGTCTAGAGGGACATTGAGGTCTTGTAGACCATTTTTTGTAGCTGTAGACCATTTTTCCCTCCCATAGACCACTTTTGGTGCCCGTAGACTAGTTTTCAAGGTTTTCGGTTGCGTGCCTTGACCCGTGGACTCTTGTCTTGCATCCTTTTTGGTTTGTTTTTGGTACAAACCTTGTTTTCCTTGCTTGGAGGTTGGAATAGGGGTTGTAGACCAGTTTCTCTCCCTGAAAACTACTTTTCCTGCCTGCCAGCCAGTTTTCTGGTCGGCCAACTAGTCTTGGTGGTCTTTGGACCACCAAAAGTGGTCGGCAGCCATGCCACCACCTTGTTTTCTTGGTGCAGACCACCTTCCCCCTCTTGCCGACCACTTGGTCTCCTTGCAGACCACTTGTGATCGTCGGCCGACCAGTGCAAGTAGCTAGCCAACCACTTCAATTGGTTGGCAGCTTTCCTGCAGTTTCCTGCAGATATTTTCTTGCCAGCTGTTAGGCACAGAAGGCATCCTCCATACACGTGTATGGAGGGATTGCTTGAAGCCTAAAGTTTGTTCAACAAGCTTGATGCATGATTTTTCTATATAAGGCAGCCTCCTCCCTCTTGCTTAAGGTTCAGAATTTTGGCTTGGAGCTATACATACACATCTATCTCTATATTTCTCCCTTTGTCTCATATTTGTGCTTGAAAGTGTAGTTTCTTCACACTTTTGAACACAAACACATAGTGAAACACCACACTCTTGTTGCTGGGGTACCTGAGGGTCTTGTTTGAACTCAAGAGTTGGTTTTTAGCTCAGAAAGTTGCTGGAGTTGCTTCCTTGAAGTGGTTCTACAAGGGTGAGTCATTAGCCCTCTTTTAAGCTTTGTGTTCATTGCTTATTTGGCCCTATTTGCATGTTGTTTTAGGCCTAACTTTCTATTGCAAAAAGTTCTAATTTTCAGTATTTAAGATGTTTGTTTGAGGTCTCTTTGGTGTTGGGGGTGATCTACTCCCTTTTTGTGCCTTGTTTTGCCTTATTTTGGGCCATCACTTTAGACCCTTGTGATCATCTTTATTTGGAATTTCTACCACTGAATTCCAGGGGAATTTCAGTGGTGGAAACTTGGTTTTGAGGCCTCAAATAGGAGGGGGTTGTCCCCCCTCCTTTCCTCTTATGTGCTTGTGTTGATGGCTCACCAAGTTAGCATGTTTGTTAAGTTTGTTTGGGCTCCATCTTAGCATGTTTTTGGCCTTATTTCAGTATGGCATACCTTTGTTTTGGCTTGGTAAATTCGCTCTTTGCATGCTATTTACACTCGTAGTGTATTCCTCACAAACTAGTCTTATATACCTCATGTTTTAGCATGTCTTGCTAGCCCATTTTGGCTCTATCTCAGCATGTTTTTGGTGTTGTTTTAGCATGCCTTAGCTCTGTTTTGGGTTGGTTTGATAGCTTCTTGCATGCTCCTTGTACTTGTAGTGCAATCTCATTCACTAGCCTAACATCCATCATGCTTTGGACCATCATTCTAGCATGCTTTTGGCTCCACTCCAGGAAGCTTTTACTCATGTTTTGCCATGTTTAAGCTTTGTTTTATGTTGTTTTGGTCATGCATACCTTGCTTTGTATAGCCATAGTGCATTCTAGTTCACAAGCTTTGAGTTTCCAAGTCACTAGAATGCATTGCTTGGACTATTTACATGAATTGGCATCATTTGATATGTGATTTCAGTGCATGTAGTGTGGTCATGCCCTCACATCTTTCACTTTTTCAATGCTTTGGAGGGTTGGTGCTTTATGCCTTAAGTATGAGCCTTTATGTGTGCCATCTTGCCTAGGCTTTTGGGCTGCCATATCAATGTGTTTTGGGTGTTATTTTGCCATAATACAACTCTGATTTTTGTTGGTAAAGTCATCCCATGCTTGGTTTTGGTAGGTGTAGTGTAATCATGCTCATTGGCCTAGCCTACTTGATATTTTGGCCCTTCATGCTAGCTTGTTTTGGCTTTGCTCCATGCATGTTTTAGTATCATTTTGGCATGCTCTAGGATTGTTTTGGGTTGCCTTGGTCATATGGTTCTTGTATTGCATAGCTGTAGTGCAATTGGCTTTGCTAGCCTTGAGTTTTGAGCACCATAGCATGCTTCATTTGTGACATGTGTAGGATTTGGCATCCTTTAACATGTTATTTCAGAGCATATAGCATTGCCATGTTCCCATTTCTTTCACCCTTTGAGTGCCTCCAAGGGTCATGCATTATTGCCTCGTTTGTGGCCTAGCTTGTATGCATGCATGCCTAGATTTTTGAGCTCCCATTTCAGCATGTTTTGGTCTTTGTTTTGATCTATTTGAGCTCTGTCTATGGCTAGTTCATTCAATTGTGCCATATATTGCATGCCTCTTATGTAGTCCTCCGTGGTAGCTTTGTGCCTTAGGCCTCCTAGAATGCTATGCTTATGTTCTTTGGATGATTTGGCATCATTTCATACATGATTTCAGTGCTTATAGTGTGGCTACACTCTTACATTTGTCACTCCATGAGCACTTTTGAGAGTTGTACTCTTATGCTTAATTGGTGAGTCAATGCATGAGCATGCATTTTCTAGCCTTTCATGCCATCTTTTAAGAGTGTTTTGGCCATTATCTTAGCATGCATGAAGTCTATTTGGGGTTGGTTTAGTCCATTGTGCATTGCATTGTATAGCCTTAGTGTTGTGTGCCTCAATGCTTAAGGACTTTGTTTTGACATGCTTATGTTGCATTGCATTGTGTTTGGCATGTTGTTGTGTTGCATTATGTTTGGATAGGGTGTTAATCCAAACACGAGAAACGAGGGATGTTTCATACTTGAAGTGATGAAACGTGCCTCATTTCTCGGTCGCCAACGCTCTTGATCATGCGTGATAGAGTTTAAGGCCCTTATGTGTTATTTGTGCATTCATTAACATTGAATTATGCAATCTTGGCTTCTCGGCCATCATGCATTGCGATGCTCGGTTGGTGGTCCGAGAGTCGAGAACTACACTCCCCTGAGCTTAAGAAATGATAGGGAGGATGGTTGTGCACACATATCTTGCAAATACATTGTTGTGCCCCTTCTTGTTCTCTGTTGCAGCAAAATGGAGTTGTGCAGAATTTTCTGGTCGGCAGACTAGAAAAAGTAGCTGGCCGGCCACTTTTTCTGGCCTGCAGCAAACTTAAGTGGTCTACAGGTGGTCTACAACACCAACAAGTGGTCGGCAGCCTTCTTAGAGGTCTCCATGATGAAGTAGAAGCTATCTGGAGCTTTGTGCAATGTTCTGAGATCAATTGCAAACAGAGGCAAGTTGGGGCATAGTGATGGATTTCCGAACGAGGCGACCGAGCATGCATGCACTTCTCACCCCCGTGGGCCTATCTTTACTGCTTTAATTAGCTGATTTGCTTAGCTAGCTAATGCTTTGGTTTTGTACTTAATTAGTTGATGCACTTAGCTAATCAATTTGTGTTGTAATAACTAATTAATAAACTAGGATTAGTTAATTAGTTTTTGTTTTGTAATAATTAGTTTAATTAGCTTAGATTAGCTAGTTAGCTTATTATTCGGACCCTCCGTCGAGAGGGCACAACTGTTGTAATAAGTGTGCGTGTGTGTGATGCATGTCTTCCAACCCCCATTTCTTTCTCTCTTTTACTTATCAGCTTTCGGTGGTTAGATTAGGGCATATTTCAATTAGCATCCTTATGCTTTGCATGTTTGCATTCATTCATCTGTCTTGCATGCACTGGGCTCGGCGCATCATACAAACTGCATTGTATCTCAATACCAATTTGAATACATGTTATCAAGTTGCATTCACATGACATCTTAGAATAGCCGAGCCTATTGTAGCTGCATTTTTGCATGTGTTGCATTAGGCATTGTTAACATAGCTAGGATCATGCATTGATTACTAACTAGCTTTTGTTTTAGCTCGAAGTACTAGGTAAGCTTTTATGCTTTAGCATACTGCATGAGATGTGTATGTTGCCATGTTAGCATGCTTGCCATGAGGCTATTTGCTTAACGGATATAACTGCATGAATGCTTGTGGATAAAGGTTGGATTGCTTGAATTGGAATAATTCATTAAAATGCGAGTTTTAAGCCCACTTGAAGTGGCAAATCATCATGTTTTCTAAGCCCACTTGAGGGTGGCAAAATCCGCGTCTTAGCCTACTTGCGAGTAACACCTTCAAACCATTTTCAAACAAGCAAACATGAGATGTTTTGTTCCAATTTAGGTGATCTAGTCTATACTTGTATGCTGTGCGCATCACGTAGTAAGATTAGCTAATAAACCGGAATAAGAACACATGTGTTTTCAAAAATAACATATCATGTTAGTAAAGACTGATCCTTTGATCGGGCAAGCGGGGGTGCTCATTTCATGACCTTCCCCCCTCGTACCCAAGTTCCCGAGCCGAGGCAACTTTGGTGATGACAGACACATAGCCTTAGGCACGAGTCAGGGTGTCCTAAATTTCTCAAAACAAAATATTTAGGTGGTGACTCTGAAATCTGGCAAAGCAATCCATGTTTGGTGCTTTTTGATTAAAATCGATTTTTCAAAACGATTTGCCGGATTTAGACTCTTTGGTGATTTATCAGTCTTACATTGCACTTTGTGAGATTAGATTCAGAACCGTGACAAGAGTCTGAACTGTAGTAGCTAGAACTACAATTCGCGCCCTCGCACGCGGAGCGGAGTTCTAGCGGTCTACAAGGATCGACACCCATGTATAATTTCAGGACTTTCACCCAGGACACTCCAACTAACTTAATTATAATGGAGTCCAACCCCTTTCTCCTCCCACACAATCATACATATGCAATGTATTTAAACACATAATCACACATATGGAGTACATCCCCTTTCTTCTCCCAAATAAACATACATATATAATGTATTTACAACATGATCATGTTTAATGATAAACAACCATGGGATAGTTCCAATTCACCTAATCCACATGCAATTTCTACAACTATCAAAGCTATCCTCCACCGATAGCTCAATACAAATATTTCTAAACAAATATACAATCTAAAGATAGATAATTTATTCAAAATTTTCAAAGATAAGACACATCATCTATTCAATTTCACCCTCCATTTCAACACTTGTCCAATTCTAAGTATTCAACATCAATTTCAACTATTTATACAAAATAGATATGATAGTCATTTTAGGGCACAAATCCCCTTTTTCAAAATATCTACCCAAGTACCAAAATCACCTATTTTGACACAACAAGACTTCATTTCCCAACCCCAAGTTCATTTATTTCATTTCCACCAAAGACCCCTCTTTTACATTTCACCCAAACCCTAGGTTTGCTCAATTTACTCCCAACTCCCACCATTGTTACACAACCACAAATAACTAAGTTAAAAATCATAACAAAGTGTAGAAAATCCCTACCTCAAAAAAAGAAGACGAGCAAAGCAAGGTTGAACTCCAAAGATACCGAAATCTAAGTTTGTTCGGATCAAAATGAAGATCTTGAAACACTCTACATTTTTCTTAATGGCACTATCGAAGAGAGAAGGTGTATTTTAGAGAAAGAATATGTAGATCTAGGTTCTTTTGGAAAGTTTTAAAGAGAGAGTGTGTGTAGATCTAGGCTTTTGGAAAGTTTTAAGGAGAAAGAGAAATAAAAAAGTAATCTAGAATGTCATCTTCACGGACTTTTATACATGCAGTCCACTCGAGCGTCAAACACAAAGTTCCACTCGAGCGTGAAAGGTGGCGTTCGAGCATAGAATACACATCTTCATAAGTTTTGCAGACGAAGACTCCTGCTCGAGACTGGACGCTCGAGCGTCCAATGCACTCTCCCAGTATTTGCAGACCTGCAAAAATATTGGGAGTTGACAAATCCCGTTCGAGCGCAAGAATGGCCGCTCAAGCGACAAAGCAAAATTTGTGAAGCTCGCTCGAGCGCAAGAATGCCCGCTCGAGCGGAAGAGCCAAAATCTGGACATCACAGGTTTGGAAAAACAAGTAACCAACCCATTCCAAACACACAACCACAACTCGATAACCAAGATAAGAGGAGGCAAGGGAAACAAGACATGAATAACCGTTCTAACCATACCATCGTGAGTCCGGAATACAATAAGTGACGGGTCAAAGTCGGAATCACTATAAAAGATATCAAGGTTGACAAAGTTAGAGGTCAAAATCACCGTGATAATCCAAAGAGTTTATTCCTGTCAATTCGTGATAAATCAAGTGATAAAAATTCAAAGAAGATGTCAGTTCATTTGGGTATTTTCAAATCAAGTGATGCTGATAATATCAGCCAATGTAGCTCTATGTTTCATCATGAGAGAGGTTGTAGTTCACAATCAAGAGAAGAGGGAAGTTCTGGGGCTATCCAGAAGCAATCTTTACTACTATATGGGCTTCCAATGGCCTCTCCTTTAATTGGATTGCCAGAAGTCTCGCATCTTGGGTGGGTTCACTGGTTTACTCTTTGTGATCTTCAACTTGCGACAAATCGTTTCTCACCAGAGAATGTGCTTGGGGAAGGTGGATATGGGGTTGTTTACAAAGGCATACTAGTCAATGGGATTGAGGTCGCGGTCAGGAAGCTTCTTAACAATTTGTAAGGATGCTTCAAAGACTTTCAATGTTTGGATATCCATTTCTTAATTTTTGTATTTATTTTTGTGCTGAAAATTATTTTATAATTGTACAACAAATTTGCTTTACAGGGGGCAGGCAGCGAAAGAATTTAGGGTTTTAAAGTTGAGAATGGTAAAGGTTTTGTTCATAGATCATGCTTTTGTTCTTTCTTGATCAATAAAGAAAGCTTGTATGAACTCATGTAGCTTGCCATATTCTAATTAGAGAGTGTGAGTGAACTACGTCAAGGCACTACTGTCCTTTTGAAGTCTCTTCTTGTGATCCTTATTTTTTATTTTTTATTTTTATTTTTTTGCATGAATTGACATAAAACATTGTGGTAACAAATATCTACTGGGCCTAAAGCACGACAGATAATAGGTCCTGCAACTCCGGCACAACTCAAGAACTTTGCATTATGTCAACATCTTCAAGAAATTCATACGCGCATCTCATCTATGATGACTGGACTTCCCACTATCATTTTGGACATATTGTCTCCATCACTAGGTGCCATGTACAGGGTTCATTGTGACTCAGTGACATCCCTATCAATTGAATGTGTTTAATTTTTGTCACACTATAAAGGCTCATTACTTATTAATTACTGAATGAAATGTAGAAATATGTAGAAAGTAAAGAGAAAGAAAAAAAAAAACACCCTTTAGGGTGAGTTTATAGTAATAAGTTTATAAGGAGTTTATGGCCAACTAGAAATATCTGGAACGAGTTAAAGGGCATGGAGGAAGTGGGGGACAAGGTATAATAAGCTGAATTTTGCGGGGGCCAAAGTATCTCATTCATTAGATTAAACAAGATTAAACATCATGGGTATAGCATAGGGTCTAAATAGAATTTTATGTTTTATTAGAAAGAGGGGTGTGGGACACTCCACTACTACAACAGGTGACTACAACAGGTGACAACCCTAAGTATTATCAATTTCCCTACATAACAAGGCCCAAAAATGCCTTTTCACATTTGAATTCCTTCCTTTGATAGTTTAACCTTAACACTTGCCCCACAATTCAGAACTTCACTATATGCCACAAACCCTGTGCATCCACTTCCACATCTAAGTAACTTGGGAAAAGTGTAATAGCCCTAAAACAACACCATACCAATCTAAGGAAGATGTAAATTCTTGAAGGTAAGACTATTAGACAGAAACACTAGAAGATGGATAAATACAAATTTATTATAAACACATGCAAACATCTCACCAAAATATCTCCAGACAAATAGTGCTCAACCAAGCATGCATAGTGTCACGACCCAAACCCGCCCTTGTAGGTTTAACACCGTAACCAGCGAGTAATCCGTGGATTACCAAAGGCCTCTGAACAGATTAGCAAATAATAAGGGGCTGCGGAAGCAATAATACAAAATAGACAAGGTCCAATGAGCTGTGATAACGTACATGGGACAGAACATTTTAAAACTTATTTATATATATGCACAAGCATGTCGGTCGGAGGACCTCAATATTTACAAAACATTTACATAAGTGGAGTTCCCAAGACCTGACTTTACAAACATTCAGAAACTAGCATAAGTACAAAAAAAAAAAAAAACAACCATGCAACTAGACTTCGATTGGAACCTCCTCGGGAGGCACAACAATTAGCTAACAAAACAGAACAAAAGGCCGTCAACTCTGGCCCTGGTCACACGTCGGCTCACCTACATACATAATATAAACTGTGAGCTAAAGCCCAATGAATAATAACAGAGTAAAGGATTTAATGAATGATGTCCATCACAGAGTTAGAAATCAAATTCTTATCAGAAACAGATTCACAATCATATTCATAATCATTACCATATTCAGATTTTGCATATAATCATACGTGGTATATCCCTTAGCGTTAACAAATCTGATGGCCCATAAAGGGACGGCCATAAAGGCATTCTGATGACTCATGTGCACAGAGACGTTCTGATGACCCATAAAGGGACCTAATGACCCATAAAGGAAAGGGACCTGATGACCCATAAAGGGACGCATATCATATGATGCTAAGGATGCCACGAATAACTTTCAGAATTTTGGACAACCATTCATTCATTTCAAACATAGCATGGCATTTCAGAGAACTAATTACTTCGTATCATAATATTCAGAAAATACTTAACATTAAACGTAACTTTACAAAGTTATTACTTACAGATGATTGGTAGCCCTAACTAGATGGTAACGCGTCCCTTCACTTATTCTGAGGCGCGTGACCTACATGAACACACATACGAACACACACTTGAAACACACGTTCGAATTGTACATAACTTATGTCGTTTGCTCAAGTGTGTTTCTAATCTCTTATCCTCATTATGGGGTCTTAAACATAGCCTAGGAATGCCTAGGATGGAATGAGGATACAAGAATGCATTGAAAACCATTTCTCAAATTTTGCTGAAGATAAGGTCCATGCTCGAGCGTGGCTTCCCCCGCTCGAGCGGACATGCAGATAAAGAAGCTCTGCTCGAGCGTGGACTTCCCCGCTCGAGCGAACTGCAACTTATGAAAAAGTGCTGGATGCATGAAATTCACGCTCGACGAGCACTCAACCCCCGCTCGAGCGTATTCCTCAGACCCTCGCTCGAGCATGGCTTCCCCCGCTCAAATGGACTGCAAAACACACAAACTTTGGGTATACACATTTCACGCTCGAGCGTGACTCTCGCCGCTCGAGCGGAAGTGCATGTACTCAGGCTTCACGCTTGAGCGTGAAAGTCCCCGCTCGAGCGTGGGTCAAATTTCTGGAAAATCCAGATTGACCTCCAAACATGAAATTCAACATTCAACCATCCCAAAACTTATTTTTCTGGGCCAAAACTTTGGAAAACCCTTGATAACTCATAAAACAACATGTTTACAAGATCATTTCAAGAAATCATGGCCCAAAAGGATATCAATTTTGCACAAACTCAACTTAAATTCAAAATCAATTTATGAACATCACATGCAAGTACATTTTTGAGCTAAGGCTCTTCAAAACATGATCAAACTTGATAATTTGGTGGACAACAAGATGAATCACCAAAATGTGAGTGAAATGAACACATGCATGGAAGAAATCTTAGAATTCAAACTCAAAGCATGGAAATTTATGCATGCATGCATGGATGGACTCTCAAAACCACACCTAGAGCTAAATCTTGCCTTTAAATACCAATCTCACCATGAACCTAGCAAGAACAACTCACATTCATAATTAAAAGGGTGAATCCTCTACCTTTAGGTCTTGAGTTCAAGGTGTGCTAGCTCAATTGTGTAGTTCTTCTACAAATCCTCAGATTTCCAAGCCAAATTTTTTTATGAAACCATGCTTCTCTCACTCTCCCTCTTTCTCACGGTTTGGAGTCTAAGAAAGAATGGCTGAGATATGTATCAAAAGCTCCTAATCAAGATTGAACAAAGTGGCCCACTAAGGGGCAAAAATGTAATTACTTGCATTTAACTAACCTATGTTTAACCTAGCATTATTTAATTTAATTTAATCGTTCCGAACCGAATTTTAATTAAACATACCATAAAATTCTATAAATCCTAACTAGCACATATATCAAGTCAATTTCGAAATCGGGCGTCGATAAGACTTTCAATTCGCAATTCAAAACTAAAACATGAACAAATATTTCTACGCCTAACAAATATAAACACAAAAATCATGCAATACTCATGCAAATTAGTTCCAAATCCTTCCTAAATTATTGTTAGGCTTAACTAAGCACGAATTAACGTTAATCTGGGATCGGGGTTATTACACATAGCGCCCTATTTTTTCAACTTATCAAATTAGTTAATTGATTGTTTACTTGATGTCATAGAAGGCATTCTAGTCCATTAAGCCTTAGCTAGCTATAGCTCAAAGGATGAGAACCAAAAAAAACAATGAACTCCTCCAATTGGGTCAAGCACTGAAATATAATCAAATGGGATTGATAAATTTAAAATACAACCCAAAAAGATACTCTTTATAAATAAATAAATAAAAAGAAGTACTAACAGTGAGAGAACAATAACTTCTTGCCAAGAAAAAAGAGAGGAGGATTTTCATCCCACTGCCCTACTATATTCATCAGGCAAGTCCCAGGGTAAACATAACCAACTAGGTGTAGGGTAAACATAACCAACTAGGTGTAGTCTAGTTGGCCAGCATGACTTTCCTAAGAGCTTAGTCCCAAGGGGATGTCATGGGTTCAACTCTTTCCAGGAGAATTGAATTGAAGGGTGCTTTGAAAAGGATAAGGAGGCTAAAACATTAATTGCTACAAATAGTAGTAATCCTGTTTGATAAAACTAAAAAAGGAAAGTACCTGGTATTCTGCTCTTTCAGAAAGCAAAAGCAGAACTTTGCTAATTTTCTCCTAAATGCGTGATATAATTCTAGATATATGTTCTTTGGAGGGTACACTTCGACGACTTGACACTAGAAACACAATAGTAACAAGATCTGATAGGCAGCTCAAGCAGGGGCCAAGAAAGTTGTCTGAAATATTTCAATGGCAGCAACCATTTGATCTTTTCCTTCCGAGGTTACAGCAGCTAAAACTCCTTTGACATCTGTGTCACGTGAAATTCTTTCTAGAAGATTCTCTATCATGGAGTATAGCTTTGGATACCCAACAGTAAATATCTCTTTCACAAAGCTTGATGTAGTGAAAGCAAACTTCATTTGGCTTGCAAAGGATTTCACAATAGCCTCCCAAACACGATCTATTAACATTGAATCACCTTCCTAAGAAAACAAGAGCTCACATAAGCAAACAAAAGCGGGAAATTATCCCCAAAAGGCAATGTACACAGATTAGTAAATTAGAAATGATGACTACCAACATCCATGGCATTAACAAAAATCATAGGATAAGCATCTTATGGGGCCTGAGTGGAAGCATAAATTTTATATAATAACAAGCAAGGAAAGAGCTACATCCATTGAGCGACCACTATCATTCCGGGATCACAAATAGACAGATAATAATAGTTACATACACATATACAACCCCGCCCGTGTTTGGGCGTATAATAAAAAAAAAATATTAGAAGTTACAACATATTATAGACAATCAGAATCTAAGCCAAAACTTCACCAAACGGGTAGGCTTCACCCAAATGCTTGGACAGACAGAGGCTAACAAGGAAGACGAGCATTAAAAGTTGAGGCTGACCT